AAAAAAAAAAAAAAAAAAAAAAAGGAAGGGAAGGAGTAGCAGTATCACCAGAGGCCTGGCATGACTTGGTCTCTGATGCCTCTCAATGCCTGTTGGTCTCCTGTACCTGGAGACCTGATGCTGTGGACCACGGCCTAGAGGTGCCATGCTTTCAAGTGTCCCTCTTTTCTCTGATCTTGTTGTTTGGCACATCCTCTTGGCCAGCTCTTGTTGATTCTCTGAAATTCAGCTCAGGTTCAGCTCTTCAGAGGGCCAAGTGGCCAGTTCCTCACAATCAAAGAGGGGGAGCTGCTCCCCGGCACTCTGTGTGGGCTTTCATTTGATCACAGACTGCACTGTTTGCTAGGCACATCTGTCGCCTCCTCCAACCTGTGAGCTGCTGAAAAGCACAGACTTGAGCTTCTGCCTCTTTGTATTCCAAGCCCTCAGTTTAAGGCCTGGTCTTGAAAGGAACTCAGTGCACACCGATGCTTCAATGCTTGGAGGCAGCACTCACTACCCTGATCCACCTCATAGAGAAGAACAAGCTCCGGTTGCCATGGTATTGAGAGCACTACTATACCTGCTGCTTTTAGGATGAACAAATGATATTCAGCTGATTGCATGTTGGCATCTGGCCAGCAGCATCTGCCGAGTCCAGCAGGACGGATGCCAGACCAACCCTGAGGCAGCAGAGATGCTTTTCCAGCTAACAGGCCTGTCTCTGTCCACCATTTCTCCTAGGCAGGGAAACTGTGGAGTAACATTAAAATGATTTCTTTTTTCCCAACTCTGGAAGTCTTAAAGGACTTTCCTTTTGTTACTATCTTCTTAACTCAGATGTCAGTTTTTTCTCCCTCTATGCATTGCTTTATCCATCTCCTCATCTGCTGCTTCTATAAGACATAGCTAATAAGCCAAATCTGGCACACTGTTTTTGTAAATAAAGTTTTATTGGAACACCGTCATGCTGATTATGTGACATAATACCATAGATGATCAATTTAAAAGAGGTAAGGTTTATTTGGCTCACGGTTTTGAGGTTTTGGCCCATGGTCACATGGCCTCATATCACTGAGCTTGTAGTAAGGCAGAGGATCATGCAGGAGCCTGTTTACCTTATGACAGATTGGAAGCAAATAGTGAGGGGTCCCAGTACTGGGATTTGAACCCAGAGAGGGCTGAACTCCTTTTATTTTGAGACAGAGTCTTGCTTAGTTGTTCAGCCTGACCTTAACTCTCAGTCCTCCTACCTCAACACCCCCCCAACCCCCGTAGCTGGAATTACAGGTATGTTCCACCAAACCCAGCTTATGTGTTGTTTTCTAATGAGTAAAATAAAAAAGCAAACAATATCATTTCCCTATTGGAAAAGTGGATCCACTGTTTTATATTTCAGTTCCATTTGTTCTAATCATATCACTGATTTGAATTTATCCTAAGGACATGATTCTAAAAGCACAAAAATATTTGTACACACAAACATTGATTCAGATTCCCCTCTTTGCAACAGAACAGCTAGAGATGGGCTCATTCTCAAAGGACAGTGAACAGGGGCCAGCGTCCTGGATGTTAGATGGTTATTACCCAGCAATGCAGTGAGAAGGTCAGCTATCAACAGCAGGCCAGTTGGGCCCAGTATGGCGGCTCTGGCCATCAGGGCCCTGTTGCTTATACCAAGGAGTGATGGGTGTGTTTGGAAACACTTCTCCCTTCTTACTCTCCTGCAAAGCCCTGCCTTTTCCGGGGGGTGAGGGGAATGATAAATAATTTTTTCCATGTGTGTTTTTCAGAGGAATTGAATCAAGTGTAAGTGTGTGTGTGTGTGTGTGTGTGTGTGTGTGTGTGTGTGTGTCTGTAGAGATTTTAGAGTTGTCTCTTGTGTTGTAGAGGTCCAGAGTCTACAGTCTGCAGGGCAGGCTGGCAGGCTGGAGAAAAGGGAAAAGTGTGCTGCTGCTGGAGTCTCAAGGCTGACCATAGCCAGAATTTCTTTCACCTCAGTGAGGTTAATCTTTTTACTAAGGCCTTCCACTGATTGGCGGAGGCCCACCCACATTATGGAGAGCAATCTGCTTTACTCAAAATCTGCTGATTTAAATCCTGATTTGATCTTTAAAAATACCTTTACAGCAATATCCAGATGCACAGGTCCAAATATCTGGGTACAAAGGCCCAAATTGACACATTAAATTAACAGTCACACGATGTGGCGCAGTCCGGGGAATGAGGCATGGGTTATAGCAATCAAGTGGGGCTTCTGGAGGGCTCCTGAGGAGGGAGGCACACTGTCGCACGTGGTGCTGTCCCATCCCCATCTTTCTTGCCTGAAAGGTGAGTCTATGGAATGTGAGTCACTAGCAACCCCTTTGTTTTTCTTTTGAGACAGGGTCTTGCTATGTTGTAGAAGCTGACTTGAACTTACTATGTAGCCCTGGCTGCCCTCAAACTTGCAGCAATCCTCCTGCCTCAGCCTCTCAAATGCTGGAATTACAGGTCTGTGCCACCACACTTGGCTAGCCATCTTGAACTCAGGGAAGAGCCCAGGAAAGCTCACAGCATGCAGCCCTTGCAGGTACCTGCTTGGGTGTGTACGCCATCTGGACCTGCCCACTGGGCTCTTCTTTAGGTAAGACAAACAGAACACTGTGTCGTTGGGCATCTGTTTCTCATGCTGTGTTACTTGTGGTCAGGCATTGTGTCTGGCTACTCACCATACTATGTTTTGGCCATGCAGAGCTCTCTTAGTTTGAACATTCCTGAGCCTCCTCTGGGCTGTGAGGCCTCCTGGTGTTCCTCCAGGAAGCTGTGTTGGCCTCAAAGGGATCTTCTTTGCTTCTCAGAACCTCTGCTGGCAGAAGGCATAAATCAGGTGGGAGAGACTGAGGCTATGAGGGCATACATAGCTCAGCGGCTGCATCACTGAGCATAATCCAGGGAGGACTGGCTAGTTGTGAAGTGGGGAGTAGGCCATGGTAAGGCTGGACCCAATCCTAAAGGAGATAGGAAGTCATGGCTGAGTTTTATGGATGTGGGGAGGTCACACAATCAAATTTAAATATAAAATATTCTAGGTGGATACTACTGTGTTCTCCAGCAGGCAGTTTATCATTTAAAATACTATAACCCTGCATCTGTGGCAGTGTCCTTGGTGGTCAAAGAATTCATCATTTCTAGTCCTTCTCCTGAGCATGCAATGGCAGTGGAGGTATTCAGTTCAGAACGCAGGAGGTGATGCTCTTGCTTTCTTTCCTGTGTTTAGAATGCATACCAGGTACATAGGCCCAGTCCTGGTTCCTGAACCACAAGGCAGTTTCACAATCTAGAATTGTTCAGGTCAGGACATCATCAGGAAATCACAACAGGGAGGAAGATCTGGGGGAGCTGAGACTGCACAGTTTAAAAAAGAAAAGACCAAAGAGGATGTCATTCCCCTGTGTGTAAATATCTAGAGGTGGAGGGAGCAAGAGGGGCTTCTCTGTGGGGCTTCTGTGTGGCTTCTGGACTAGGAGCAAGACGGATGAGCCAAAGCTGTGGCCAGGCAGGTCTTTGTCCAATGCCAAGGACATTTTCTGAATCGAGTTGCTCTGTGAGACCAGGAAGCCTGGGAGGAACCTGGAGGAGTCTGGGAGGAGGCTGAGGAGCGACCCAGCTAGGGGTGGGGAGGACAGAGCAGGGCCAGAACTCAGTACCCTTGGAGCAGGGGAATGGAGTCATCAGTGGCCAGAAAGGATGAAGCCATGCAAATCAAAACAGGACACCAGCAGCAGCAACAATAAACACTGTGCTATCCAAATAAGACCCACTGCAGAGGCTGCATTCGGTCAGGGCAGTGTCCGCTGGGAAAGGTGGGTGTGATGTGGGTGGTTTCACCGCGTCCTGGCCCTGGAGAGGAGAAGTCTAAAGTCAGTGCCTCAGACCTACACTGGCCTGGCCGGGAGACTTCCAGTGGAGGACACCTGCAGCTCTGGTGGCCCCAGGCATTGCCTGGCGGGTGGTGGCGTCCTCACCCCTCTCTGCTGACATCTGCACTGGGCCTCTTTCTGCTGCTGGGTCCACATTTCACTCTTCTCTGAAGGACACAGGCAGGTCCTCTTGGATGAAGGGTCACCCTACTCTGCGTTTCATTAGTTACATCCTCATTAGTTACATCTGCACTGAACATTCCCAAACAAGGTCACACTATGCCCTGACCGTATCTTTCTTGAAGTTTGGAGGGGAGACTGGGGGTAGACTCGAGTTTTAACTGGGAGTCTGAGGCCCATCCTGCTGAAGACTCAGCAACCTAAGAGTCACACCTCACCTGGGGATGGCGCTTTCTGATCACTTGTCTGATTTTGTGTATTTTTCTCTCCTCGCTTTCCTATCAAACTGGCCAGGATGGAGAGCACTGCTGCCAATGACTTGGCTCCTCCCTGAAGAATAGGGGTGGGAGCCTGGGGTGCTCTGGATCCAAGCAGAGATGGGGCTTGGGGCGGATCCCGGGGCAGGGTCTCTTCCTTAGAGTGTGCGGTGGTACTGAGGCCGGTTCCATCACAGCCTGCCTGGCCGAGCCGCTGGTTTGTGGGGAGCTGCTCCCTCCGCTGGTCAGAGCGAAATCAGCTCTTCTGTCAACAAGGGTTGTCTCCTTGGGTCACAAACTCAAAGAGCCAGAGAGAACCCCGGAGGTCATCAGGTTCAACTCGCGTCCTTGTTCAGATGGAGAGACTGAAGCCAGAGATAGGGAAACTCAAGGTTAGATTAGGGGCTTGGACTAGACATGGGCTGTCCTCCCTGCGTAACAGGGCCAGGGAAGCATCTCTCAGCATCCTGCTGACATCCTGGGGGTACAGAATGAAGAACAGGCAGGGCTCCTGAATGGGTGCACACAGCTCAGTGCAGGGCACAGACTGGAGAAGAAGAGGGCGCAGATGGGTGGCACCTGCTTTCTCACAGACCCCGACCTTCTGACCCAGAGAAGTGCTATGAGCACTAACAAGCTCAGGTACCCCCGACACCCCGGCCCTGCAGATGACCCTGGCTTTGCCTTGTTCCAAACTCCTAGAAAGACCTTTTGTAAGAAGAGCTTTTGTAAGTCCAGCTTTCTTTATGCCTACCGTTCCTGCTCCTGTGCTTCAGATGGAGTTTCATGGTCCACTCGTCCTCCTCACATGATGGTGCTGTAGGTAGGGTAAGAGGACTACACCAGCTGGAAGACCTAAGTGTCCAGCAGCGTGAAGGCAATGTGTGACCACTTTTTCCTCATCTCAACTGTTCACAGAGCTTGTTGGAGAGAGGAGAAGCAACACGCTCTGTTCCCGTGGTCATCCAGCAGCCCAGGCCGGCCATCATGAGCACAGGGTGTCTCGGTGTCGAAAGGAAAGCACATGGCCGGTGGCACCAGCAGTCCCGTGGGCCAGGCTAGGGAGCATTGGTCTCAAAAACCACCCTGTTCCAAGGTGAGGGCTTGAAAGACCAGGAAAGGATGACAACAAGCGAAGGCCAAACCTGAGTTAGCTGTGGATCTGATGCAAGACGGGACACCACAGTCCACATCTCACAGACCTCAGGGCTGCTCCAAGAGGTCCAAGATAGGGCTTCCCACAGGTCGCTCCCTGCAAGTGTCTGCATGTGGCCGGAGATCCTGGTTTTGCCAGTTTTGGTTCAAGAACGCCCCCGGGGCTTTGCTGAGCCTTCCTTAGACCATGTGACATGCTAGTATTCTTCACCCCACCGACCATCTCTCCCTGTCCCCTTCACTCAAGGCAGACAGACACTGTGGCCTGCTGGTTCTCCTGGCCTCCTCTGGCTTCCTCCCTAGCTCCTTTCATAGGACCCCCAGGCCTGTACTGTCGTTTCCCATCTTTTTTGTCTTGGTGTCTTCACTTAAGAGGATCCACCCTCCGGAAAGCCTGGTCCTCATAAAGCAGAATTTAAAAGAAAATCTGTTTTCCTTGCTGAAAGCAGTCTCCTAGCTTTTGGCAGCTCCCCATTCAGGTTCTGCCCTGCAACTGCTGGCCTCTGCTCTGTATAGATAAGGTAAACAACAAAGTTCTTGCTAGCAGAGGCCTGTGATGTCCTGGTTTCTCAGGAATCTGTTTTCCTTCAAAGCTAAGCTCCCCCAGCACTGATAAGACAATTCCTGTAAATGAAGTCCTATTCCTGTAAATGAAGTCTTGTGGCGTTTGAGGACCTATATGTCCTCAAATGGCACAGACAAGGTTGCCTACTGTGTTCCTATAAACAAGGTTTTATCACATCTTGAAATTCCTGATATTTGGCTTTCAAG